TCTATAGTTACATATTTTAATGAACTAGTTCAAAGAATGTTAAAAACCTCCTAACCCTTCATCTCTTATTTATTATTCATCACACAGCTTAAAAAAAAAGACATTCTTCTACATAGCCACAAAATAATAATTGCACTTAATTGAACTCAATTATTGTTTACTAATAGCATCCAAAACCCTGGCTGTATTCTGATTATCCCAAAAATGTTTTTCATTTTTTTAAAAACACTGGTTATTTGATCACATTAATCTTAGATATGTATTCACCAACTCAGTGTAGCTAGAATTTGCACAGAACTCTGGCGGGATGACAGACTGCTTGCAGTTGTATTGTGGGTTATCCATCCGATTAGTGAGTTTTAATACCGGTAACTGACACAGAGCAGCCCTCCCGGCCCAGCACAGTGCTCTTGGCTTTACAGACATGGTCTCCTTTGACTCTGAGGATAGCGCCACGAGGCAGGGCACACTGCAGCTCAGGAAGGGAGAGGTGCCTGCTCCACGCGTAGCAGGTAGTGAACAGAAAGAAGCGCCAGTGTCTGACCTCAGAAAGTCTTGAGCCACGGCTCGCATTCTGACCTACAAGGTTCACTGGTTACCAGGTAGTTCCAGAGAATAGATTGCACTAACAACGTGAATTTTTTTTTTGGCCAATTCATAGTAATTTTAGATTTTTTAAGTACATTTTTTTTTTAAAGACGGTTGTTTGACAAACTGGTTAACCCACCCTTTGTGATGAAGAATTGATTGTACAATGTAGTATTATTAGTGAATGTATAGTCTGTTTTTATTCTATTGGTGTGAGCTTGGGGTTTAGTAAAGCTTACTTAAGAACAACACTAGAACTTCGAAAAGATAAAAATGTGTAAAATGTCATTGGTCTCCTTGAATTACAGAAAGATGATGCATTTGCAATTTACTTATTGTGATGGTGGGTTTTGTAAAGTGTAGAAAATGTTTGACACTTCAAAATCAAATATAAAAACTTAAAATTATTAGGTGATTTTCTCCTAAAGTTGATAATCTCCAATTACCATGCTTACATTAATTTTTAGATTTTTTTAAAAGAACTTAATATTTCGTGTTCATTCTTTGGCTATCCTCTATAAAATATCACAAACAATTAACTATTTGCATCAGACTAAGTCAGCATCATTTTTAGAGATTGAAAAAAAATTTCCTTACAAAATTATGTCGTCTATTTTATGTAGTTCTGTTACATAAATAAAGCGGTCATTTGATAGTTAATGACAGATTGATTCTGCTATAAGCTGTTTCTTTAAATATTTTTAAGAAATCGTAAGATTGTGTTTCAGAAAAGGGAACATTTTTCCAATTTTATTTTTGTCTCCCAGTTTCTTTTTAGAGAGTGGTGAGTCCTTTGATGATGAGTTAGTTTTCCAGCTCGGGGTCCTACTATATTCAAGACCTGTTCCTCTAGCGCCTCCCCCATCCTGTTTGTTTGTAATAGGAAAAATGTTTTATTTCTTAGGTATTTGATTTTTTTCTATTTTCATAAACCTTGGAACATCAGTCAGTAATCAGAAGACAAGTATTTGGGTGTTTTCAGTATGTCTAGGACTGTGCACTGTGTCAAAAATATTTTTCTTTTCCTCTTACTTTCCTCAAATAGCCACCTACTTGTACTTCTCAACGCTTGGGCCTGGCTGTCGTGGGGAGGCAGGTGGGGAGACAGTGTCAGGGTGGTTCTAGAAATGGGAGGTGGAGGGGCCAGTCTTCTTTGGCTGGGGAAGACCCCAAGCTTCCTCCTTGGCTGAATAGACCTGACGCCCACTCACAGTCTGGGGCATCCTTTCCCTCTCACCTAGTCCCAGAGCCACACGTGGGGTAGGAACATCCTAGATGTGTGTTTCCCAAAAGCTGCCTTTGGTCGGTCCTTCGTAAACTCGCAGCGTAGGGAAACAGATCAGCGAGTGTGCTCTGTGTTAGTGAAGCCATTGATCACCAGCCCTCAGTGGACAGTCTTAATGACCAATTTTAAACTGTTTTATGTCAGGAACAAAAGAAGCTAATACTAACTCAACTAGTATTTCAGATGATAATTCAACTAGTCTGTGGCGTGAGAATCTTGAGGCAGACCCAGCAGTGAAGCAGAAAGGTAAGAACGATCCCTTTTCCCCCCTTTCCTAGGGAGAGGAGATTGAGCACTCCAGAGTGGCACTGGTGTCCCGCACCTTTCTTCTCAAGGGGGACACAGTCCAGAGCCCAGGGTTTTCCTCCCTTGGGTCTGAACGTGGCAAATGATTCACTTCTGCCTTTTTGCGTGAACTAGAATTGAGGAGGTTATTGCTTGATAACATGACTCACTCCGTTGTTCCCGGTGTGCTTTCTGAGCAAGGTTAAAGTGGCATCATTCATGACTCTGGGGGTGTCATGAGTGATCCCTGAAACTTGTCACTGCTCGAAGAGCCCCACAAGCCAAGCAGTGCACTACCCAGACCTCATGTTCAAAGAGGACTTCTGAATAGCTCAAAATGCTGTTGCTACTATGGTTTTTCTTTCTGTATTGTTCTTTCAGTGTCCAGTTGTGCCTTAGTGAGATTCTGCTTCCAGCATAATTTTTCTCGGCACTTAAAAAAGTCGTGGTAAAGTTACACATTCAGCATTTAAGGCCCTAGAGCTCCTTATGGGCCTGCAATGGTGCAGGTGCCTCATGTGACCCGGGCTTGTGCAGGCTGCAGCAGCTGGGCCGGGACGTGGCATGGCTAGGCAAGGGATGGTGTTTGTTGATGTGCTCAAACTGAAAATATTTGTCGAAGGCCTACTGTGTGTCAGGCCAAGGCAGGGAGTGCGTCAGTGGGGAAAATCAGACTGGCTTCCTGCCTTCCTGGCGTTGGCTGCAGAGATAAAATGGGACCATTTGACAAGAGGTGCTGGGGGTGGTCGGGGTGGAAGGGACCTTGGGTGACCTGGAGAGTGGTGAGGGTGGCTGGGGAGAGCCTGCTGGGCCGAAGGAACTACATAAACGACGATCCCAGGTGGGACGTGTTCAGCAGACCGGCTGGCTCGGTGTGGTGGAAGCATCCAGAGCCGGGGGAATGGGGAGAGCCCGGTTAGTTTCTGCCAGGCTTCGTGTGGCCAGTTAGGGAGTTTAGTCTTGATTGTAAGAGCAGAAGGAAGCCAGTAATATTTTTAGGAGGAGTGGCATGGTCATATTTGGCTTTTAAAAAGAGCAGCCATGTTAATTAAGGAGGCTCGAGGAGCAGTCCAGGGAAAAGGAGAGTGGCCCGGGCTGTGCTGGAGTGAAGGGCGGACATCGGAGGGATTCTGGGGCTGCTCGATGTCTTTGGGGACCGGGCCTAGAGCTCAGGGGACAGGTCTGGACTAGAGAGAAAATGGTGATGGTGGTGCCCGGGTGATGGTGCGCGCCTGGGTGGGGATGAGGTCACCCGGGACCAGAGGCTTTGCGACTGCAGAAGGTGGGAGCACTGGCACTGTGGGAGCAGGGGAGGATGGAGTCGGCTGTGTGGAGAGTGCCTGAGGACTCCGGGGGTGGGACCTAAGTGGGGTTAGGGACCCGACCTGTGACAGGCGCAGAGTTTACTGTGCTCGCTTACCTTCTGGGTATCGGCCTCATGATTTAATGACCCCACCTCTCAGTAACCCTTCTGAGCACTGTGTGAACCCAGAATCTGTCCCTGACACCCCGATGAAACCCCGATGGCATGAGTTTCGAAGAAAAAGTTGAGGATTTGGAGTTGAGGACCTGGGTCAGCTGCTTGGCCTCTGGTCACACAGTGACTCCTAGCGCTGGTCTCTGCTAAGCACACTGTCCAGGCCACACAGCCTCGAGGAGAGGGTCTGCTTCTGCCTGCTCTTGGTCCCCAGCAGCTCTGCTCCAGGATTGAGGCAAGCCCCCCACCCCAGATTCCCTAAAGCATCATCCTGAGGTCTCTGAAACTGCCACGTACAGCTTCTCATGCCATGGCCCCAGCCAGCACTGCCTGTTCTCACAGCACCTTCTAGAGACGCTGTCTGGAACTGTGTTCTCTGGGCCCCTCCTAACCGCTGGCCCCTCCAGGCCCATCCTCTGCGCGGTGTCCCTTTGTGGGGTGTGCTCTCTGGAGGCTCTGGGCCCTTCCCCCTAGAGCCACCCTCCTTAGTGCAGCATTTATGCCGCTCTCTGCCTGGGCGGCTCACAGAAAGTCCCCTGCCAACAGACAACCTAGGAGAGTCTGAGGAGTGCTTTTCATTCTGTGTTTGCAGGTGGGTCCTCACGGTAACCTAGGCTGATTCCTCGTGGCGTGCGTGTGAGACCGTCCCTGTCTGGGTGGGGCCGGCCCCTCTCCCCGCGTAGTGTCCTTGGCTCTTCTGCAAATGCATTCCTGCTTCATGGGAGTGTGAAACAAAGATTAATTATCCACCTATGGTTTCGAGTCCAGCCCACTCTTATGGTGCCACTGCTCATTTACCTGTGACTGCTTAGGTCACATTTGTCCCCAAAACACAGCACTTGAAGAAGGATTGTCAGGCGTAGAGGTACGCCTCTCTTGAGCTGGGGAATTTTCTGCTTTCAGGAGCGGATAGAAAAGCACTCACTGATCAGTTCTATGAGGTGGGCTCGTGTCTGGTTTCACTGAGTCTTAGAAATGGCCTGGAGGTTGGGTGTGCCGGGTGCAGCCTGTCACGTCCTCCCCTTGCACTTGGACGCACTTTTTCCGTGGCTTCCTGGCTTACCAACTTTTGTCTCGTGTGTTTAATTCATCTCTGTGATATACTTTCTTCACGTCCCTGTTTCCTGTTTTTATGTAATAACATTTCATGATTTATAGTTTTGTTTGTTTGCTCCTTGTTTTCTGTTTTTGAAAATAAAATGGCGGTAGCAAATTAGGAAAGAGGCTGTGTGGAAATGACCCTTTCTTTCTAACAGACATTCAACATTCTTTACACTGTGTTTTTTCTCTAGTTCTTCTAGATCATTCAGCATATTGAGGTTTACTTACGCGGAAGGTAATTTCCTTCTGTGCTTTTTTTTTTAGGTGACTCCCCCAGCGATGCAGGTAAGGAATGGGCTTAAGTAAGTACGTTTGGTATAGAGTGCGTGTGTATAAACAGACACACGGAAACATGTACTCTCTGAATAATGTTTTACAAATCGCATGAGTGAAAGTAATTTATTTTATGGAAATGAGTCTTAACTATACCAATTTAATTTGAGATTTAATGTATATGTTTTACGTTTGAAACGAATACATTTTAAGATTTTTTCCAGAGTATAAAGTACATTTCCGATATTCAAATTCTGATTTATTTTTACTATTTTCTGAAGTATACCTTTCTTTTACTTTAAATAGGGACGGTAAATTTAATTGTCTTAATAGCTTGGACGTGTTATTTAGTGATTAAATTTTTTTATCAAAATGAAGAAAACTGTATTTAGATTATAAAAATAATATGGTACATCCCAAAGATAGAAAAATTTTAAAATGCAAAAAAATCAGAAGACAATAAAAAAGGCCACTGCTCATAATTTGAATGAATGTTCTTCTAGAACACCATATGTGTAAGTAATTATAGATATACTACTATACTGTATTGCTAATTATATGTTAAGATGATGACATTGTTTCACACAAAAGGGTCTAGCCTGTGCCTATACCATCATTTACTTAGTTACCAATCGTTCGTCACTATTATCAATGATGACGAATGAACATCTGGACCTGTGTTCATTTCTAGGTTGTATTTCCTTTAAGTTAAATGCTGAGTTGATCGGCCTGTCCTTTGGATTTCATTTCTGAAGTAGTTGAACCAGTTTGCATTTCTGGGGTTTAAGTGTGCCCATTTCCCCAAATCCAGATATCAAAGATCTGTTTTATCTTCATCAAAATGATAGATGAAAAAATAGCTCATCTGTATTTGCAGTTATTTGACTGTTGTCTTTTCAAATACTTACTAGTTGTTTGTGTTTTTCCTTTGTGAATTGCTGATTGGATTGTCTTCCGTTTAGAAGGAGAAGTTGCACCTCTTGGCCGAGAGAAGTCTGAGGTGTCAGAGAATCCAGACGTGCCCAGTGAGCTTTCGTCCGGTGTCAGGTCCGTGTGCTGCTCCCAGGCCTCTGCTGCGGTGCTTCTCTCTGTGCCTCTTGCTGTTCCCTGAGTGCTTGAGCTACCTTACGAGCAATTGCTTGTACAAAGAAAGCAAAAACTATTTACGTAATTTTTCACTACCTGAGTTATATAACAATATGTAGACTATTTTAGAGATTTAGGGAAATCCATAATTATGGCTAAATTATGTCGTGTTTTGCTTAAAGATAGTTGTGCTGTTTTTTTGGTACCTTGAAATTACTGCACACACAAGCGTCAGAGATGCAGGTTACTGGACTGTTCCTACTGCTCTGCGGGGTGATTCGTCCTAACTAGCACGTTGATGATGGCCTGGGAACTAGTGTTAAATTAACCTGGGTTTTCTTTGCCCACTTTGAAATGTATAAGTGTTTCATGTCTCTTTTTTTGTTTTCTAATATTTGGGTTTAGAAGAATACCTCGGCCTGGGAGTGCCAGACCAGCGCCTCCCCGGGTCAAACAACAAGAAAGCGTGGAACCATTGCCGATAGATAGGTAAGGCTGGCTCTGGTCACGCAGTGTCCTCTTCCGTGTGTGGGGACAGTGGGACAGAGGAGCACTGGTGCCTCTGCCAGGAGATGGGGTTGGGGACGTAGCAGATGGTGCTGGGAAAACTTGCTATTGAGGAAACAAAAATGAGGGCCTCCCTATAAACCATAGACCAACAGACATGTCAGATGAATGAAAGGGGAAAAATTTACATATGTGTAAAATTAAAATCTTGAAATATATGGAACACTGGTGTTTTTGTCTGATCTCTAGATAGAAGTCTTTCTAAGCATAAAAACAATGAGGAAAAAAGGTTTGAATGCTTAATTGCACAAAAATTAAAAATGGAAGGTTGTCAGAAAGTTATAAGCAATGTAAAGACAAGCAACAGACAGGTGGGCTCAGAGTAGGTTTCACATTGAATAAGAGCCAAGAATTGAAGACAGCAAGAGTAGACATGTTTTTCCAGGAGTTTTGCTACAAAGAGAAGCAAAGAAATGAGACACTAGCTAGTGGGGAAGATAGTGTCGAGGGAAGTTATTACTTTTTGTTTTTAAGATGGGAGAAACATCACGTTTTTCTGATACTGGGAATGATCTACGGAGAGGGGGAGGTTGACCATGCAGGAGACATGGAGAGGGGAGCTGGTGGAGTGAAGTCCCTGTGTGGGTGTGGGATTCGGGGGTCATGGAGAGTCGACATGTAGTGCAGATTCTTAAGGTGATTCTCTCTGGTGCTTTGTTTTTCTTGTGAGCTGAAAGTGGGTCTTGGGGAAGAGGAGCAGGAGGTCAGAGGAGAGAGGAGGCGGCGTGAAGTCGGTCTGCACAAGAGTGGGCAGTGAATACACTGGGGCAGGGGTTTTCATTTAGAGGTGCCCCCCCCCGGGACATTGGGCCACTGAAGGCATTTTTTAGTGTCATGACTTGGCGGGGGGTAAAGGAGAGAAGGTTTTGACATCTGGTTGGGGGGCTGGGGACAGGGTTGCCAGGACACTGCACAGGACAGCACCAGCCCCCCAAGGATGATGGGACCACACGCCCATAGAGCCAGGGTGCAGGACCCGGCCAAGGGAAGTAGAGCTTGACTGTAGGGCAGCATCAGGCATGTGTGAGCATAAAGAGAGGGGAGTCACAGTGGCCGTGGCCCTTGTTCTCCAGCTGTGGTCAGTCGCACAGGGGCAGGCATGGCTGGTGCAGAGCCGGGTTGAACAGGGCTGGGGTTGTGCCAAGCCAGATGTCGTCAGAGAGAGAGAAGAGGAAGGGAACTGGAACGTGCAGAAGAGCCACGGCCATGAGCAATGGTGGGATTTATGCTGGTGAGGGAAGAGAGGAGCCCACGGGGTGAAGGACGTGAAAAGATCATGGAATTAAGAGGCTGGAGGTGCTGGTGGGGTCAAAGGATCGTTGGAGTTGGGTCCTAGGGGTGTGGGCTGGAAATACGGGGGTGGTGGTCAGAGAGTGGGGGTTGTGCTTGGATTTGAGATCAGGAGCTTGCAGTTAGCGGCAGTGATAGATGTGACCCTGGGAGTGGGTGGCAGGTAGTAGAGGTGAGGTCATTGCAGGAGAGTTCAGGGACCTGAGGCCAGGGTTTGGGAAGGATCATTGCTCAGTACTGGAAACCATGTCTTGAGGCAGGGGCAGCGTTGGTGAGAGCGGCGGTAGGGGCAGGGGTTGGCAGCTGATGGCAGCAGTGATGGGGTCGAGGGCAAGAACGTGGCAATGTGACATTCAGAGTTGGCAGTTTTGGGAGAGAATGATGTGGAAGCCACAGTCAGCGCAAGGAAATACCGAGCCTCCCTCTGGGCCTGTGACTGGAGGCCGGGGGTGGGGGTGGCGGGGGAGAGCAGTGGCAGCTGAGGGCTGCAGAGGACAGTGTCCTTGGGGCAGGGCGAGGGTGGAGTGCATAGTTGGGGGGTCAGGGGGCAGGGAGAGCAGGACGTGGGCCACAGTGGGAGTGTGTAGAGAGTTCGAGAGCCAAGGGGATTAGAGCCCCAGGGCTTCCTAGGGTGCTGACATAACAGGGAGGAGGGACAAGGTGAGTTCGGTCCTGGTGGGGCCAGACAGATGGTTGTTGAGGTCAGAGTGCACCACAGGTAGAGTTGAGGATGTTTGGGGAGGTGGGTGTTATTTCAAGAGCTTGTTCCTAAGTGTATGGATTCCCTCTGGACCTTGTGTATTGCACTGAAGCAAGGAAGAGGTTTCGTGTGTGTGTATGTGTGTGATGTGTACATCTGTGTAGCTGTGTGTGCACACGTACTGCAAAGTGATAGTGGGGCAGGGGACAGGGTTCGGTTGAAGCATGGTCATGTTAAGTTGTATAGGGCAGGAACCAGGGCAGGAATAGCTGATGGGAAGCCCACAGAGTGTTTGGGTCTGCGGGCTTGTGGCCAAGGCCCAGTGCAGAAGAAATGAGTCCTGAGGCAGAGGATGCTGACAGTGGTCTGGGTGGGGAGGCTATAGGTGGGACAGTTCCAGCAGGGGGCCCTGGAGGGCACTAGAGAGCCCTTGGATGAAGGTGGTCACCAGGGAGGACAAGGTCAGGGGCTGAGGGGCCAGCCTACCAAACATTGACTCACCCAGAATGACGACAGGTCCTGGGTAGCAGTGGCGTGCATACGTGGGGTGCCGGGCAGGGCAGAGGGCAGCAGCCGAGACTAGGAGTCAAATGGGGGGCCTCGAGCCGGCTGTGTGTAGAGAGGTCTGGGGGCAGCTCTGGCTGTTGGGGCCCCAGTGCGACCCCCTACCCCGAGGTTTGCAACTTGGGAGAGTAGCCCCCTCCGTGTGGAGAGTGGCAGGGGAAGGGCTGATTTCACAGAGAGCCAGGGTCAGCAGAGGAGGGGCCCGAGGCCTTTGTTAAGAGAGGGCACAGGGAGGCTGTTGGGGCCAGAGGCCAGTGTGGACCAGGAGGTCGCAGTGGCACAGGGAGGGCAGTTGCATTGGGGGTGGGGGTGGGGGTGGGAGTCTGGCGTCTCGGCTGCAGGGCAAGGCTCATGGGGACCCAGGCCTGGAGGGCTTCCTCAGTTTCCATACAGTTCATCTGAGCCGCAGCTGGTGTTTTGTGATACTGTTCTAGAGATGATTAGGGGTTAAATTCCTCACAGATAACCCTGACGTAGTTCCAGATGCATAGGATTGATGAAAACTTGTGACTGACAGAACATTTCTAATTTAATCTAATTTCTTTTTATTTAGGACAGGGAGTGGTAAAACTGTCTCAAATGTGATTATAGATTCACAGAATTCTGACAATGAAGAGGATGATCAGTTTGTGGTGGAAGCTGCCCCTCAGATCTCTGAAATGTCAGAAATCGAAATGGTTAGTTAACCGAAGCAGGATGTTTTTTAATAATTTTATTTTATCTGCATTGGAATGATTAGGTCATTAAATATGAAATGTCCGATTTCAAATCAAAAGTTTAGTTTATTACATCTCAAATAAGAAGCAGTACAATTAATCAAAGTGTGCACCTAAACCGTAGACACAGTTTTGCCATCTTAACGGTAGCTTGCTTATGCCAGCGGTGAAAAAGCCTGGAGAGTGAGTGGCAATGAAATCGCAAAAGGCGTTTTCCACAGTTTGTTGAGAATTGAGTATTGTTCCTTGCAGGAAGTGGTCCAAAACCTGGAAGAAGTGGTAGTCAGTTGGTGGAACGTCTGGTGATACGGTGGATGACAGTTTCCAAGTACAGCCTCTGTAATTTGAACAGCACTGTATGTGCGACATGTAGTCGAGTGTTGTCTTGCAAGAGGATTGGGCCGGTCTCTAGTGACCAGTCTTGGCTGCTTAATGGCAAGCATCCTCATCATTGCATCCAACTGGTTGCAGTAGACATCCGCTGTAATCAATTGCCCAGGTTTCGTGAAGCTGTAGTGGATAACACCAGCACTGGACCACCAAACAGACACCATTAGCTTTTTGTGATGAATATTCGGTTTTAGACTGTGTTTCGACTCTTCATCTTATCCAACCATTGTGCCAAATGCTTGCCATTGTCAAAAAGAATCCATTTTTCATCACACGTAACAATACAGTGTAGAAATGGTTCACCTTTACGTTGTGACAGTAAAGAAAGGCAAGCTTCGAGATGACTTCTCTTCTGACGCTCATTTGATTCGTGCCGAATCCATCTATCCAGCTTCTTTACCTTGATGATTTGCTTCAAGTGGTCCAAAATCGTTGGAATAGTAACGTCAAACCTTGCTGCTAATTCACGTGTAGGTTGAGATGGATTTGCTTCCACTACATACAGCTTTGAGCTCATCATTATCCACCTTGGTGTCAGGTTGCCCACGTAGCTTATTTTCAAGGTTAAAATCACAAGAATGGAACTTCTCACATCATCGACATACTCTGCATTCATTGGCCACATCCTTCCCAAACACTTTGTTGATATTTCAAGCTGTCTGTGCAGCACGGGTTCCATGACGGAACTCATTCAAAAATAACATGAACTTTTGACTTACCCATGGTTTCACAAAAATTCCTCTAAAAAAAAAACTTTGAAACATAATCACAAGGCAAACCATACATTTGAAAGAACAAGGATGTACCTTCACAATAAAAATAAAACAAGAAGTGTCAAAGTGAAATGTCAGGGATAACAACTGTCAACCTTAGTACTTAAGGAAATTGGACATCTCATACTTAATAATCTGGCTTTTAGATTTATGTAGACAAAAATTCCCTCTAATTTTTCAGTGAGTTTTTTACCTTTAATTTTGTCATTCCTTTTTTGAGATCTACAAAAGCATGATTTTGGGAATGTAACAAACCTAAATCTTCTCTTTCTCTCCTTCCTTTCCTGCGCAGGTACCAGCAGTGGAATTAGAAGAAGAGGAGAAGCATGGTGAGTCCTGGGTGTGAGCGTGTGTGTTTGTGTGTGTGCGCAGCTTTCTCCGTGTGTGTGCGCGCTTGGGAAAGATCCAGTGTAAGAGACTTTGGTGTGCCAGGTTCTGGTTTGAGGTCAGAGTAGCAGCAGGTAGCACCCTGCGAGTGTGGGCTCCTCCTGCATGGATGCCGAGGGCTGCTGCTGCCTGTCCTTGGAGGACTGGGAGGGCACGGCAGGACCCTGGAGATTCGCTGTGAGCTGTCACGCACACCGCTTCTTTTCTTAACCATACAATCAGACAGTGGAAGTAGATGACCTTAGAGATAAGATCCTTCCCAAGTCCAGTTCTATAGTACTGTTTGTTCTCTTCCCAAGCACGGTGTTTTCTTTTATCTCAAACATTTACAAAGTTAAGAGAATAGCCCGATGAACTCCCTTATGCCTGTCACACAGCGTCTGCAGCGATCACTTCATCGTGTTTTACTGAGCTTGTACCTGTGGAACCCCCCCCAGACTATTTTCAAATCCCAGAGACCCGGAGAACATCATTTCATTTGGAAATATGTTGTATATATTTCTAAAAGATGAGGGCTCCTTTTTTAAAAAAAACTACAATTCCATTTTTGTATATAGAAGAACTTGATAATTCCTTAATATCATCAAATACCTGGTTTTTCCAGTTGTCTTGTGTGTTTTCTCTGGTTTGTTTGAGTCAGGATCCATGCAAGGTCCCTGCACTGCAATTGATCGCCCTAACTCTTAAGTCTCTCTTAATCTGTAACCCCGTCCACTTGTGATGTGTTTGGCGAAGAAGCTGGCCGGGTTGTCCTTCAGAATGTCTCATGAAACCCCAGAGTGTGTTGCGCCATGTTCTTCTGTTCCCTTTGTAACCTGTCAATTGTTCTGGGAGACTTGGTCAGATTCAGGGTTTTGGGGCAGGAATACCTTATAGATGATTTTGGTTCTTTATAATGTCTGGTTGACTCTTGGCTTGTGATGTTAGGCTAGGTTTGTTTTTTCACTAAGGGTTGCAGAATGGTGATACTGGCATCTCATCTTCCCTTCCGAGTTCTCTCGCTAGAGAACTGGGGAGTACAACCCCCCTGGGGTTTGACTACCCTGAGGCACAGCTCCTACAGAAGAGACGGGCTGAATGCTTTTTCCTGTATTGATCCGTATCCATAATAGTGACTTTTTGTTTTTGAGATGGGGTCTCACATTATAGGGACTTTGTTTCCTGGCATCCATGAAAGGTAACTAATGAGGGCTTTTTGGTTTTGGGGATTATTTCTGGTATCTGTATGAAGTCATGAATTTTTAACGTATATTATGTAGTTCATTTCATTCCATCTCAGTTTTTTTTTTTTTTACTGATGTTTAAATTGCCCGGTATTTGACCAGTGGGAGCCTATTCCAGTTATCTTCTGGGAGCCTTTTTGACACATCCCAGCAGACTTTGTAGCGTCCTTGTTTTCTGATATGACAAGATGGTTCAGGCTCATTTTGTATATGTCCTGGCCCGTGTCTGCTGTTTCTCCAAGAAGCCTGGCTCCTGTTGCTTCTGGGTTGGTCCTTGTTTCTAGATGCTTTTGTGGCACAAAGCAGGAATATACATTTTTTAAAAAATAAGAATACTTATCCTGAGTAAATCCTAATATTTCTAATTCAGATTTGGGATTATAGGGTTTTGTCTTTGTTCTTTGATTTTACACGTGCATCTCTTCCATCTCAAGCCCCAAATCTCGGCTCTCAGCAACATCAGCTGTTTGTGTGTTTTATCCTACAATACGTACACGGTGATTTTAGAACAGTACCACTACTTATTAATGACAATAGGATTACTGAAAATATTTTAGGATTTTTTTTTTGGTAGGTCCGTTTGTCTTTTTATTCTTAGAGTATATCCCATTAAGGATGTACAACCAAGTACTCTGTTTTAAAGTCAGGAAATAATTCTTCTCCATTAGCCTATGGTTGCCAATTTGATTGATGATAAGTTTATTTCATTTTGCTTTCAATTTTCAGGCATTAATGTTTTTAATTTTTTTATGTAAGATAGTTGTATAGTTTTAAGGTCAAATATGTAAAACAAGGTATAATCAGAGATGTGGAGCTTTGGTCCTGGTCTCTACCCTCTGCCCGCCCTCCCCCATAGGTAACAGTAAAAAATATGGTTTATACTTCCATTTACAAAATAAGTAAATGAGTGTGTGTGTGTGTGTGTGTGTGTGTGTGTTGATCAACATCCATTCTTGCCTTCCCCTTGCTTTTGCTGACTTGGCAGTGTGTGCTGCCATTCATTCCGTGGCAATTAGAGGAGTAGTCTTCATTCCTCTTCATAGCTGCGTGGTCCTCCACCGTGTGGCTGTGCCGTAACTTATTCAGTCAGTCTCGTATTGATGCATCCTTGGGTGAAACAATACTTAAAAAATGATTTTCATTTTAAATATGCTATTTTTCATTTAAATATGCTATTTACCCCATATGAAAGAAATGGAATACCCTTGCCCTAATATAGAAGAAGTAATAGTATTTAGAAGCAATTCATAATTGTTATACCTATTTGTAATAGGCAGTTATATTTTTGGATATTAATCTGTATTCCTTCTTAGTCTTTGAAAATAGGATAGAAAAATCTATTTTATTTATTTATTTTTGTAGAGATGGGGTCTTTCGTAAAGACAGCTATGTTGCCGAGGCTGGTCTCGAACTCCTGGCCTCAAGCAATTCTCCTGCCTTGGCCTCCCAAAGTGTTGGGATTACAGGCATGAGCCACCATGCCTGGGCAGAAAATAAATTTTACTTGTAAAGTTTTTTACTTTCCAAGGAGCTGATTTCCTTGAAACACTTTGAAATTTTATAATTTCCACTATCAGCTGCTGTATCACTCTATTGTAGAATATCTTTTAACAAATAAAGATTAAACTATTTTCAGTGTTGGAAGAGATAGGATAAGAACTTAGTATTTCTTCAACCCTTCTACCCATTTAGAATAGCTTCTTGGGGCAGAGAATAAACTTTTAATGTAAAACCACTGATTTTCAACAGGTGGACTTGTGAAAAAAATTTTGGAGACTAAGAAAGATTATGAGAAATTGCAGCAGTCACCCAAACCTGGAGAGAAGGTAATGGAATGATTTCTGTAAACACTGACATTTTAGCAGTCTGTTTCATACATTTACTTTAAAAATTAGAAGCATCCTTCAAATCAGTAATGTCTGCTTACGTGTTTAAATGCCATTCCTCCCCAGCCCAGTTGGGAGGGTCGAAACTGTGGGGCTCTTTCTGTGTGGTGCTGCTTTCCTGGACCACGTCCAGCCCTGTGCTGGGTGGGCAGCAGCTCGCTTGAGGAGCTCAGGAGCCAAGAGCCGAAGATGCGCTCTGCTCAGGCTCCACGGCTCTCCCCATTGGGCCTTGCCAGTCCCTCCCCTCAGGTTTTGTTTGCAGAGACAGGAGCTGGCTGCCTGGCCCTGGATGATTGCAAAATAAGAAGCTGGGGGCGTTTTCAAGTCTGGCTTTTAAATGTGTGTTCTATTTGTACCTGAATCCTAGCCGTCCTCCCTGCAGATATGTGATATGGCTTTGTCGGAACCTACGGTCTCCCACCAGCCACTGCCGTTTCCTTGGCACATGGCTATCGGGTGAGCACCTGTGGGCTAGGGGGTGTGCCTGCTATGCTGTGGCTAGATTTCTCTTACAGTCCCTTCAAATAGTAAGGATGAATATTTTTCTAATAGAAGTTTCTGGCTGGGCGCGGTGGCTCACGCCTGTAATCCTAGCTCTCTGGGAGGCC